CGCCGCTCCGCCCGCGGGGCTGCGCGCTCGTTTTGTTCCTTTCAAAGAAACGTCCCACCCCCACACACCCAGGCAAAAAGCGTTAGGGGAAAAAGTACGCGGTCTGTAAAGTTTCGGAGGAGAAACGCCTCATCAGCCAGCCTGGAGTGGCCTGAAGCCTCCCTATAGTGGCAGGATATATACCGCCCTCGGTTTCCCTTTCTTTGCCTAACTGGCATCCTAACGCCAGGACCTAGTGGGAACCTACCTAAACGGTTTACGTTTGATGTCTTCTTGGGCTTGATTTCTTGGGTGTTTGCTCCACTGAACTTGCACTGGGGGAGTCTTCTGAAACCTCTTCTTCTGTTGTGTTGGCTCTTTTATTTTGAGGAGAGGAATCTAGGAGGGGAAAATTAAAAACAAGGGTGGTGGGGGGGAACAGTGATATTAAAATATTTTCCTGCCAAATTTTGCTCGGCATCCGGAGGGGTAGATGGGGCCGGGGAGGGAACATTCCCAGCCCCCCATGTCTACTATCGATTAAGTGAAGGAGAGCAGGGGGAGGAGAGAAGGGCTCCTCCCTAGGTAAAAGAGACAAGCTTCCTGTTTTTATCTAAAATCCCTGTCCGTCCTTTGCTTCACACGGGCGTTATGAAACCCCTGGTGCTGCTCCTCTGCTCGGAAGGAGCCGGGTTCCCGCAGAGGGTGTTACTAGTGTATAAGGGCTTTTGCTTGCAAATCACCCACCGGCTCCCATTGCACGTCGGACGCTCCTGGGACTTAAAAACAGCACCTGGGCTTTTTAAGGCGAAAGGAGGCTGGGGGTTGTGGGGCACCTAAAACGGTGCCCGGCGGGGCAGAGCCCCCCCGGAGCAAGGACGCGTATGGTGCGGGCGAAGGGGTCGAGAGCCCCGGCGCTGACACCATCGGGGCCCGCACGGCTTTCGCAAGGGTACGTTACCGTCAGTGGCAGGTCTTTTCCTCTGCCCAGTGCACTGCTCTGCAAAGTCCGTCTGATTTTCAGAAACATCAGTCTTTTGATCTACACAGTGAGTGTCCTCTGAGATTCCCTGAGAACCAACAAAAATCACGGTCTGGCAATTCCCGTTTACATCCAAGCTCTGGTGGCCGGCGGACTTGCAGACGGCTTTGAGTAGCCTCGGGGGCCTGAAGTAGAAGTCGGGCGAGCTCCCCTTCTCCACGGCTTGCCACTCGTACCTGCCTTCCAGGGGCTTGTGATTCTGGAAATCGAAATTCCACTTCCTCTGGCATGCCTCCTCCATCTCCTTGCAGTGCTTCTTCAAGTCCCTGTTTAACTCTTCGTGGTTCACCGGCCCGAAGAGGTTCCTGCAAGCTGAAGGCTTCGGGTACTCCGACTGCCTGGCCTCCATGCGCTCCAGGGTAGGGCTCCCATTAGAAATGCGTACGTTTGACATCTCCCCCCACAACCCTCTTTTCTTCTGGCGGCGGTTGTTTTTCTCGCTGCTCTCCCCCCACCCCTCCTCCTCCTCCTCCTCCTCCTCCTCTCTGCCTTTTATTTCTCCGCGGTGAAAGCTTTTCTTCCGCTCCTCCCCGCCGCGCCGCCCCCCC